AGAAATGGGTGGATGGGGATCAGATGTCTTGGTGGAAAGGTATGTACAGTAGAGAGATCTTGTAGCGCCTTTGAGACTAACTGAAAGAAAGAAGTTGGCAGCATGAGCTTTGGTAGACTTCAGTCTATTTCCTCAGATGCACTAGTGGAAAGGGTTCCATCTCCTTTTCTTAGGACCACAATAAGTGGAAGAATCCCATTTCCAGATCTCCGACACCGTATCTTCTGGTCTGAACCTTTTGCTCTTCTTTTTTTCTCCGTCGCCACTCTTTGCCGGGAAGGAAGATGCTGTCCCTTTAAAAATTACAAACCACACAAGTTAAACTTCAGCAAATAGATGTTGCTTGCCAATTTCTTGTTGCCGCCTCAATGGTTCCTGTTGAACTTGGCCTCTTGCTTGCCAAGACAGCTCCAGAGGCCCTGGGGGGGGGGGGGGATAAAGGATTGCAGACAGACCCATCACCCAAATGGGGAGCAAAGAGGTACAGAAACCATTCGGAAGTCCGGTCCTCCCACTTCCTCTGCCCTGCTTCTGAATCTTTTGCATTATTTTCATGAAGAGGTGGGGAAAATTGTATTTACTGGAATCAGTGGCAGCGAAGCAGAGGGACTGGAAATGTCCAAGTCTAGCAAGGCAGGTTGGTTAGGAGGACTTAGGAGGCATAGGATTTGTTTTTCAGGTGGACCATTTTGATTTCTAGCTGCTTAATATACAGTGGGTCCTTGTTATCTGCTGGAGTTTGGGTCCAGGATCCCCTGTGGATACGAAAATCCATGGATGCTCAAGTCCCATTAAATACAATGGCATAGTAAAATGGTGTCTCTTATATAAAATGGCAAAAATCACTGTTTGCTTTTGAGAATTTATAGATTCTTTTTTTTAGTACTTTTTTGGATCCTGGACCCAAACTCCACAGGGGATCCTGGATCCTGGATTTTCGTATCCACAGGGGATCCTGGACCCAAACTCCAGCAGATAACGGATTCCTTATCTATGCTTGACTCCATAGATAAGGAATCCGTTGAAGGCTGACCGTATTCTCCCTTTCCAAAGAGTTTATCACACGGGGGAAATCCTGTGCGAAAACGGGGCTTTAAATTATTGCACAGGTCTCCCTGTGTGATAAACTCCCAAGCCCTGCACTTTTTCTATAAGGAGCATTTTCTTTTCTGCTTGAAAGAACTATGATGTGATTGCATGGGCATTATTAATGAAGTCAGGTGGGGCTGATTCTGATCAAATTCTGTATGTGGAATGTGTTGCGAGTTGGTGATGTTCGCAATGTGAAAAATTGAGTGGGATAAGTTGTGGAAGTGGAACGTAGAGGACAGACCATGGTGCAATGACAACCCTTTGCCCCTTCCTATTTCCCCACCATTTGAAATCCCCCATCCCAGATGCTATTTCATTCTGGGGATGTCTCTGTGTTTTATGGTACGGGGAAAAGCTCAGCTTTGAAATGCAGTTTAAAATGCTAGGTTCTTCTTTCTTTCACTTAGGACCTTATCCCACACTGCTCTCAAAAGTGGCAAGAAAGCGA